CGACATCCTCGAGGCGGCGAAGTCGTTCCCGAAGCAGACCGCTCTGGGCTGGGATGCGTTCCACCCGCGGCTGGTCCTCTCCCTGGGCAGGCCCTTCGCCGAGAGGATGGCAGAGGTGCTCACGGCTTGGGAGCAGCAGCCGCAGCCCACAGCCCTCTTCACCACGGTGATCGTCTTCCTGGGGAAGCCAGACGGAGGCCGCCGCCCGATCGGCCTCATGAGCAGGTGGGTGCGCATCTGGAGCAGGGTGCGCCGCCGCTACTGCGCCAAGTGGGAGGCGGACCACCCGCTCCCCGAGGTCTGGGGCAAGGACGCGAACACCAGTTGTGACAGGGCGGCCTACCTCCACAACCTGGGGCTCGCGCTCGCCCGCCAGCTTGGCTTCGAGGCAGCCTCCGTCTACTTCGACACCAGCAAGTTCTACGAGCGGATCGACCACGACCTTCTGCGCCAGGCCGCGGAGGGCAACGGCTTCAGCGTCGGCCTGCTCAGGGCCCTCTGCGTAGTCTACGCTGGGCCGCGCCGAGCCTCGGCGGACGCCGCCATCAGCGAGCCCATTGAGGTCAGCGGCACCACCATCGCGGGCTGCTCCTGCGCGACGACGCTGGCCAGGCTCATGCTGCACGGCCTCCTGCTCCAGGCCAGGGCGCTGCTGCCCGTCGGCAGGGTCGTCAACGTCATCGACGACATAGCAGGCCACGGCATCGGGTCGGCGGCGACGCTCAGCCGAACGATCGCGAGCTTCGTCAGCGGCGTGGTCGGGATGCTAGCGGACAGGCGGCTGCCCATCAACTGGGCGAAGACGAAGGTCTTGGCCTCCACGGTGGGCCTCCAGCGCCGCCTGCAGCAGGAACCCGACTGGCAGCTCGCGGCGGAGGCCTTTGTCTCGGGCCACCGCGACCTCGGCGTCGACGCCACGGCTGGCAGCCACAGGCGAGTCGCGACTCAGGTCGGCAGGGAGCTCGCGGCGCTGCGGCAGGCCAGCAGGCTCCAAAAGATCTTCGGGCCTGGCCTTCGGCAGGCGAGGGTCTTGCGCGCGGGCCCCTCTGCCAAAGCCCTATGGGGCTCGGCCTGCAACGGCATCCCGCCTGGCCGCATGAGAGCCCTGGGGCTGGCAGCGGCCAAGGCGATGGGCAAACTGGCTCCTGGGGCTGCGCTGGGCTTCCTGCTGCAGTGCTCGCCGCGCGGCTGGCGCCAGGACCCGCTAGTGGTGGCCACGGGCTTGGCCGTCCTCGCCTACACCAACGTCCGCTGGGCAGGCCAGGCCTCCGCGGCGGCGATCCAGGCCTGCATCGCGGAGAGCGCCAGGATCGTGAGGCTCCAGCGCCCTCGGGCTGCCGTCAGGGACCCGATCTCGGCCTTGGTGCTCACGCTGCAGGTCATCGGCTGGGGCCTCAGCGACGACGGCGACTTCCTGCAGGACGAGTTCGGCTGCTGCTACTCCGTCCTGCGGTACTCCCCCGCCTTCTTTGCGGAGAAGGCCAAGGAGGCGGCCAGGAAGGCGGCAGCTTTCCAGGAGTACGACGCCAGGCCTGAGACCCTGTGGCCGTGGCAGCTGCCGCCAAACTGGCGGGCCATCAACCAGCTCCTCGGCGCCGCGCCCACGGAGACGTGGTCCAGCCACCACTGCGGCTGCCTGCGCAGGCTGGCGACTCTGTCACTCTGGCCGCAGGCCAGGCTGGCCAAGCGCGGCACCGACATCGACGACCGCTGCCTGCTCTGCGGTGAGGAGAGCGGGACTCTGGCCCACCGCCACCACAGGTGCCCTGCCTGGGAGGGCTGGCGGCGAGATCGCAGGACCGCCGACTTGGAGCGAGCTGCCGAGTTGGTGAGCACGATGGGCCACCGCTACGAGGAGCTCTTCTGCCAGGGCCTCTTCGTCGACGCCCAGTACCTGGTGCAGAGGTCGCGCTGGGGCCCTGGCTGGGAGCGCCGCTCGCGCGGCTGGGACGAGGGCGCGCTCGTGGTGCCCGCGGGCACCCTCGTCTTCACGGACGGCTCCTGCGTCAACAACGATTTCCCGATGATCAGGAGCGCGGGCTGGTCGGTGGTGGTGCTCACGCCCGACGGCGAGTGGATGGCGCAGGCGTGGGGGGCGGTGCCGCCTGCCCTTGTGCCCAGCCAGACGGCGAGGGCAGGCGAGGACTACGCGGCGGTGGTCGCCCTCACGGACATCGTCGGCCACTACCACCTCATGATCGACTGCCTCGGCACGGTCGGGGCCTGCAAGGACGTGAAGAGGGCGGCGGGCCCGACGGCCCAGTTCGCCCACCTCTGGGCGAGGGTCGGCGACGCCGCCGATGGGGGTGCACGTGAAGCACATCCCCGCCCACCGTTCGCGGGCGGCCGTCGAGCGGGGCGAACTCACGGAGGTGGAGCTCTACGGCAACCGCCTCGCGGACCAGCTCGCGAAGGCGGGCGCGGCGCTGCGCGCCATCGCCGACGAGGAGGCCCTCCTGCTCCAGGGCTGCCTGGCCCGCGCCCGTGACGCGGCGCGCTGCGCCGCCGAGTTCGAGGTCCAGGCCACGGAGTCGGGCATGCGGGACTCCTGGCCCATCAGCTCGCTGGAGCTGGTCGACCTCACCCCCTACATGGCGGCGGAGCTCGACGGCGAGGCCGACTTCCTGCACGCCGCCGCGGCGGGGCCCGCCCCTGGGACAGGTGGATTCAGCCCACCGAAGTCGCAGTCCCAGGGGCGCGGCGAGTTCAGGATGATGCGCGACGCGGAGGTGCGCGGGCCTGCCGTGACAGCGGCTGGCAACATGAAGGAGCCCGACGCGGAGCCTGGCGATGACCACGGCGAGGCGCAGGCCTCGGCGGCTGACGGCGGCCCCCTCCTCGCCACGGCGGCGGCCCCGGCAGCGGTGGCGGCAGCTGGCGCCTCCAGCTCGCGGCCTTCGCCCGCGAGGCGCCGCCCCGCCTCGGCCGAGACGCCCGCGGAGGTGCTGCGCCGAGTGGCCCAGCGCAGGGCGCAGGAGCAGCCGAGGCGCCGCGAGGCCTCGGCGCCCGCGCCCAGCCCGCGCCTGGCGGCGGCAGCGGCGGCGAGCAGCGGCCCAGCCCCTGCGGAGGCGGCAGATTCGGCCCGTCCAGCGGGATGGAGGGTCAACGGCCACCTCCTAATGGAGTCGCGCGTCGAGGGCGACGACTCCGAGCCCTTCCTGGTCTGCGCGGCTTGCTGGATGTACTGCCGCCTCCCCAGGTACGCGCACCGCGGCCTGGGCAAGCCGTGCGGGGCCAGCGCGGCGGCTGGGCAGCCCAAGGGCAAGAAGGGCTCCAGAGCCCAGGCGCGGTCGGACTTCGCACGTGGCACCCTGCCGGCGTCGAAGGATCCGATCGCGCCGCTGGCTTCGCCAAAGGAGAGCACGCGCCTGCGCTGGGCGGCGGCTCTCCAGGCCAGGCAGGGCCACGGCGCGGAGGAGCAGGCGCTCGAGGCGGCGCCCGTGCCAGCGCAGCGGCAGCCTGCAGCCGCCCCGCCCCCGCCACCTGCGGCTGGCGCTGGGGGCCAGGAGGCAGCGCCGCCGAGCGCCGCGGCGCCGCGGCGCCTGGCCGCGGCGGCCCCGCGGGCGGAGGCCGCCGAGCCGCGGCGGATCCGCCCAGGGCTCGAGGGCGTCCTCCGAGCCCACGGCTTCGCGGACGCTGCGGCGGCCCGCGAGCGCGGGAGAGCCGCGAGGGCAGCGGCCGCCCGCGCAGGCCGCGCGGCGGAGTTCGCCGTGGGCTGATGCGGGCTCGGCAGGTGGCTGTAAGCGCTCTCGCGGCCCTCCGCCTGCTCTGTCTAGTTCGAATGCTTGCATGCACCCCCTGTGCGCGCGCAGGGCCCCCAGAGATAAAAAAAAATGCCATCACTGTAAACTTGCACCACTCATATCCGCGTCGACCGTGCAGAAAACTATTGTGTGGGGTCCACGCAGGCAAATTTATGTTGCCTCTCTCCCGAAACGATTGCGAGCACTGCGGTGTGCACAAGGGCGGGGCATTGCATGTTGCTCTGAATTGTCGGCTGCCTGGGTTCCTTATTCTGACAGCCATGGAGTGTTTGTTGTTGTTGTTGTGCGAGGTCTCGGTCAGAGTTCAAGCTTACGGGGTGGCAGTATGGAGCTTTCGGTTCCGATGTCCCACCTTCCTTCTCGGAGTGTTGCAGTACAGTTGTGTTGGGGTTGCCCGCCTTCGGGTATTTCACGGCATTGAAATCGACAGTGCGTGGCTTCGGGCTCAACGTCTGAGTAGAGAAGCATCAATGTCGCAGTGTCTCTGCTAGGCGTGTCCCAGTTTGCGATGCCTCTAGAATTTAGGAAAACTCCCAAGCATCGAAGATACGATCTTCGATTTGCCTCCCCACCGCCTCCGCCGCCCCCTCACCTCGTCCTCCTCCGTCGCTTCAGCTCCGCCTCGAGTCCGTTGCCCGCCTTCCCGATCTCCCCCTGGTAATTTAGTGACGCCACGGGCACCTCCTCGTCGTCGTCGTCGTCGCCGTTATTGCCGACGGCGACGGCGACGTGTCTCGAGGACGAGGATGATATCGTCGTCCTCCCCCTCCTCCACCTTCCCCTCTCTCCCCCCCGGCCGCAGGGTCGCTCGGCGAGCCCTGGGGCCGCTCTGGGGTCACCTGCCGAGCGCCCGCGCCCCGCTCGGCGAACGGCTCCCCACCCCATTTCGGCTGCCGACACGCAGCCCTGGTGGAACGTGCCGAGTGCACGGAGTGCGGCAGTTCCGAGCCGGCCGAGAGGGCGCCCCAGGCGGAGTCGGGAGCCCTTTCTTCCCCGCCGGCACACACATTCGCACCGTGGCAGAAGCGAGGCGGGAGGCCTCTTGGGGGCCCTCGCCGGGCCCCAGAGCCGTCGAAAAGCGATTCAGGAGGTGAAAGAGGTGGCCCGGGCGAGGTGGTCGAGACCTCGGGGGGGTCCGGTCCACTTTGTGCGTTGTGCCTGGAGCATGCCGTTGGGGGTCTGCGTGCCGCGCGGGCGCCGCGGCGGCCGGCCGGCCCGCCTTTCCTGGCCACCGAGATGTCGTCCGCGCGGCTGAAGGCCGGGAAGCGCATGTGCGGCCCTCGGCAGCCGCCCGCCCGCACGCGCCGCGGCAACGGCGGGGGATCAGAGCTCCGAGTTATCAGAGCTGGGCGTGGTCAGGGGTAGTTGCAGATTCGCGCCACGGAGGCCCAGAGTCATCCCGGATCGCTCAGGCGACCGACCATCACGAATCATTGGGGGTGAGGACAGTCAGGGGCAGCTGCGGGTTCGTGCCTCGGGTGCCCAAACCAGAGTTACCCCGGAGCGCAGTTATCCCGGATAATTCGGGCGTCCAAGGTGAGGGCAGCGGATATCCGGGGTAACGTTAAAGGGGATGGGCTCAGGGGGGACGGGATGCATCGACACGCAATCGCCCACTGATCGCCGATAGGGGCCCGATAGCCCACACCGCCCAGGACCGTTAGGATTCGCGTTCGGGGGCCAATCGCGGATCTATCGGGGACGTATCGTCGATTCCAGGTCGATGGTTCCCCCGCCTGACCCGGTGACACCCGTATGGCTGACTGCAGGAGAGGCAGGAGAAGAGGAGGACGAAGATTTTGGATCCTGGATTTTGGAGCCGTCTTCCCAGCGCATATCGCACCACCACCCACAGCACAGAGGCTTCTGCTCATGCTCATCTGCGGAGACACTGCATGGTCGGACTCGCCCTCTCTCCAGCACTGCTGCTTATCATTCATGTGTGATTGATAAGATGGCAAATGTGTTCATGCTGTTGTCGTTTTGAAAAGATGAGCAGGCTCTCGTCGCATTTGACAGACCTCAGCGTGAGTGTCGAGCGCGGGGGTTGCCGATACTGCGGCCATCAAGATGGACGAGGGGGAGGGAGGGGAGGCAATGAAGGTCGAGAGGACGGAAGCGTGGGGAGGTGGTGGAGAGACGTGGGGGGGATGAGGAAGCCTGGGTAAACAATAGGTCACGCCGAGAGGAGGGAAGGGGGCGGTGCTCCTGCAATCTCGTTTCCCTCCACCTCGTCCTCCTCGCCCCTCCTCTCCTCGCCTCCTCGTCCTACCCCTCCTCCACCCTCTCATCCACCTCGCTCCCGCATCCTCCCTCCATTTATGTTCCCCTCGTTGTCCTCGACCTCCTTACCAGGTCCCAATCCTTCTCTCCATCCTCGTCCTTCTCCCTAACGTCCTCATCGTGCTCCCTGGTTCCCGATCCTCCTCCTCATCATCATCCTCGTTCATCCTATATTCATCGTTGTTCTTTATACACACCGCATCCATGTCGTACCGCGAGGCGTGTCGGTCGGGCGGGCAGGGCGTTTCGCCTGAGATTTCCGCACCATGTATGACGCTGAAGGCTTGAATTTGCAAGCGTTTCACAGCTGGACGGCGGGTGGTTTTCAACATGGGGCTCTCGCTTTAGTGCCTCGCATTCGCCCTACAAGTTTGCAAGAGTTTCACGGATGGAGGGCGGGTGGTTAACAACATGTGGTTCTCGTTTCAGCGCCGCGCACATTCATTCCAAAAAGGTTACAAGAGCTTTGCAGATGGAGGGTGGCTTTTCCGAATGTGGTTCTCGCCCTAGCGCCGCGCGCATGTGTCTTAAGAGTTTAAGCTTGTTTCAAGGATTCATCTGGTCAGCGTCCTTGAAAGTCAACACGATGTAGGACCGTCAGGGCGCAACAGTCACGCTGATTCGCACAGTGTTCAAGTCCAATAAATGGTTTCCTGGCACGATTCAGGATCGTCAGGGCGCAACTGTAACGCTGATTCGCGGCGTTGAAGTCCCGGGAATGGTGCTCTTGCGCGCCTCTGGGTTTTCCAATGGTTGACTTCCAATGGGGCACTTCCCGCAGTGAAAATGAACTATGTAGGGACATATGAAGAGGGAATGCGGAGAGAGGGTTCACTGCAACACCGTTGGGGGAGTCTTGGGTTTACACTTGTCCTCCTGCTCCTCCTCGTCCTCGTCCTCGTCCTCATCATTCCTCGTCCTCCTCTTCCCTCCCCCTGCCCGCGGTCCTCCTGCCTGCCCTCCGCCCCCCCCCCCCCCTGGTCCTCGCCCTCCTCCTGCCTCCATGCCGCCCCCCCCCCCCCCCCCCCCCCTTCAAGAGGAGCGGACGCGAGACGCCGCGAGCACGAACCCACGCGGGCCTCTCCAGAGAGGGCCTCGCCCCTCGAGGGGGGGCGCAGGAGTCGCCGCCTCTCTCCCCCGCTCGGAGGGCGGCGGCAGGCCCGCGGGAGGCGGCGGGAAGCATCAACGAGGGCGGCTCCCCCCCCACCCCCAGAGGCGCAAGCTCTTCTTGTGGGCCGAGGACTTCTTCTCCGCCACAAACGTGCGTGCCAGAACGGGTTCTTTTGCGGAGCTTGGGCCCCCTTGGCGCAGACGGCCGAACGACCCCTGCAGCGGGACACCCTGGCCAACACGGCTGCCGCCTCAAACACTGCTCGTTTGACGCTGGCATTGTTCCTGGGTCTCAGGGGGGGGTGGCGGTGTATGAATCACCACTGCGAGCCAGCGACTTCATGCACCGCCGCCCTCCCTTGAGGTGCATGCGAAGTTCGGCGGAGAGCGCCTGCGTATATAAGTTCGTGGCGTACCTTAATTATCGACCCTCCCTAAATAGCTGGACCCCCCTTTCAATTGTAACCTAATTTCCGGGACCCACCTGTCAACGGGGGCTGTAATATTCTGGACCCCTCTGCGAAATAGCAAGTGTTCTTTATTCATGATGCAGGTCGAGAAGTGAAAACGGCTGCAACGGATTGCATTGCTAACATGGTAATGTTGGTGATGGTAATGATGGTGATGTTGGTGATGACATGATGGTGACGGGGATGATGATAATGATGATGATGCTGATGCTGATTATGCTGCTGATGATGATAACGATGATGATTATGATGATGCGGATGGTGGTGGTGATGATGATGGTGAAGGTGGCGATGTTGATGGTAATGACGATGCTGGTGATCATGGTGATGGTTATGCTGATGATGATGACGACGATGACGATGATGATGGTGGTGATCATGACGATGATGTTGCTGCTGCTGGTGATGATGATGATGTTGCTGCTGCTGATGATCATGATGAGTACGAGAATGATGACAACGACGATGGCGATGAGGATTCGCAACCTCGGCTACGAAAACGGAGCAACATGCGGACTGCAGCAGCAGCTTGAGCAGAACAGCGAATGCGCGAAACATCCTCAATAAACCAGCCCCGCTGTCTTCGGTTTAAAGTAACCGCCCTAATAAAATGGACCCGCCCGCTTCCAAAAAGGCGCCTTACAAACCTGTCCCGGGGGACCATCACCACGGGATTTCGAGGATTTGGGACCCGCCACACGGTTGCCGAGAGGGCGCAGCGCGCGAGCGCTCGCGACGCGAGGGCGGCTCCGCGGGCCGGCCAGGCATGTCCGCGCGCTCGCTTGGCTGCGCGCGTCCTCCGTAGGCGCCCTGCCGACGGAGAGTGCGTCCTTCACCTTGGCATCGCTCGGACGTGTGCATTTTTCTTTCGGCGAGGACCATCGAGGAGCATCCTTGATCATGTGGCGAAGAAGCCACGCACGAAATCGAAAAAAACACAGGGAGTGGACGTCCGAGCGATGGCCAGTCACCCCCTCCCTCCAGGGGTCCATGTCGATCCGATCCATCCGATTCGACATGTCTCGGCGTCGGCCGGCTCGTTCCGCTTCGAAGCCGACGCTCCGACGATCCGAGGCGGCCCGAGGACTGCACGACGCTGTTGTGCACCCCGGCGCGGCCGATCCCCTTCGGTTCCGGCTCCGTGCCGACTCGGCCCGATTCGACGCACTTGGAATTCGATGCGCTTTCCTGGCTCAATACTGATTGATCACGCCCTCCCCCCCGCCTTCCCCGAGGTCCGAGGTGTGCCGAGGGCGCGACTCCGCCAGGGAGCCCCGGCACAGCGTCATGTCACATCCGCGCCCCGCCGCCCCTCCAGACGGCGGCGGCGGCGGCGGCTACGAGGACGAGGGGGGGGGAGGAGGGAGGAGTTGCGAGGGGGGATGAGGTGCGAGGAGGAGGAGGAGACGGAGGAGGAGGAGGAGGAGGAGGAGGAGGAGGAGGAGGAGGAGGAGGAAGGGTGATGGGGGAGGGGGAGGTTGAGAAGACGGAGAAGGGAGAGGGGAAGGAGGAGGATGAGGAGGAGGGCAGGGACGATGATGATGATGATGATGATGATGATGATGATGATGTTGATGCTGATGCTGATGCTGATGCTGCTGCTGATGATGATGATGATGCTGATGTTGATGCTAATGCTGATGCTGATCATGATGGTGATGATGATGATAATGATGATGATGATGCTGATGATGATGATGCTGCTGATGATAATGATGATATGATTGATGATGATGATGATGATGATGATGATGATGATGATGATGATGATGATGATGATGATGATGATGGTGATGATGATGATGATGATGATGATGATGACGATGATGATGATGATGATGATGATGATGTTGATGCTGATGCTGATGCTGATGCTGATGCTGATGATGATGATGATGATGATGATGATGATGATGATGATGATGATGATGATGATGATGATGATGAGTAGGAGGAGGAGACGGAGACAGCTGGAGCGCCGTCCAGCGCGAGCCCCACGCTCACCAGTCGCAGGCTCCGTTGGATCGGAGAAGAAAGCATAAGCACAATGAACGTTCGGAGCTCCGTGCGGATTTCTTGGATCTGCGCTGGGGCCCCCTGGCGGCGCCTCCGGCGCCGCCCTTGGCGCGCTCAGACGCGCCAGGGAGGGTGGTCCAGCGCAGATCCAAGAATTCCGTGCGCACCGTCGAACATTGATGTTTGTGCCGTTTCTGTTTCCACGTGGAGGACGATCAATGGAGAGGAAGCATTATGCCAAATAATTTCCAGATGTCTAAAACATGTGTTAAACATGTTTTAAACATGTAACAAATATGATAAAAAACAAGAAACATGACATTGTTTTACATTTCAAACACATTCTAGATTCAAGGATCGGACTGCAAGGGGGTCCATTGTCGTGGCATCCACAACACGAGGAAGAGGGCTTCTCAGGGAAACGGACCCTGAGGCCCGTCGCCGCCGTCGGCCTCCTGGGGCCTCGGGGCTGCCGGAGAGAGGCTCTAGACGAGCAATTGGCCCCGTGTCCCCCAGCGGACACTCTGCTGCTCCTGCGTGCCGAGAGGGGGAAGGGTTATCAGCCTCGAACGTGTCCCTACCCCGAAGACTGACACGCCAAAAGGCGATGACAATCTCAGGGGTTCGCCCTCAAAACAGAAGGGGATCCCTAAGATTGGCATCGTGATGAGAAGGTGCCCAGCGTAGGGATCATAGGGGCGGAGCAGGCACGGGTCGGACCGGCCGCAGCAGGCGGCCCGCGCTCGCGGTGGGGCCTTCCAGGGGCCCCAGGGGGGCGGGGCGGGGGGTCTCACAGGGCCCTGGGGGGGCCCCGGCGTCCTGGCCAAGGGGCGCGGGCCGGGCGCCCCTGGCGCGGCCGCAAGGAGGTCCAGGGCCCGCTCCCTCCCCCCCCCCCCTCGGCCCTCCACCTCGAGGGTCTCGAGCCCAGACATGATCGCGTCGTAAACAAACCAGGACGGGAGGTTTTTGCATATTTTCGGCCTCGGGGGGCCCTCGCCGGGCCTCGGGACCGTCAAAAAACGACTCAGGACGAAAAACCGGCCCCGGGGAAAGGGCCGGGACTTCCGGGGACGCCGTCCTGAAAAAATCAGGACTTCGCATGTCTGGGAGAGGATCCCTCGAGCCGTCCGTGCTCGGCAGAGGGGGCGCCCAGGGGAGCGGCCGGGGCCCTCTGGACGAGGGGCCCCGCCGGGGGCCCCCGCAGAGGCCTGGGGGAGGCGCGACGGGCGCGGGGAGGAGGGGCGAGGAGGGCGACTCTCTCTCTCTCTCTCTCTCTTTCTCTCTTCCTCTCGTTGTCTTCTCTCTCTCTCTCTCTCCTCTGTAAGGTAGGTTTGAGCTGTCCTCACTTTTTGCGTGCAATGTGTGTTGTGCTCGCCGACCCTTCATGCTGTGTCTGTATCTGAGGATGGGGGCGAGGAGGAGGAGGAAGATGATGGGCACATCATCGTTGGCGCACTTGTCGCAACGGCGAGTCTGAGGAGGAATCTATCCACGAGAGAACAGCCTCCTCCCCACATCCACCGGGGCAATTATTGGAGTTGTCTTTTTGTGACGCCCGTGGAAGTAGTCGGCACGCTCTCACAGCGAATCTAACAAATCGGCACTTTTTTTTAATACGCAATTATATGCACGATATTTGCTTTATTTGTTGAAGACGCCTGCGGCGAACCACTGCCACCCCCTGTATTTTTGGAAGTGTCTATACTGCCGAAAGTTGGGCTAGAGCTATCGGACCATGTGTTCCTCCGGCCGTCGTTGAAACCTTTCGGGGGGAACGTGAGGAAGAGGAGAATGATGAGAAGAAGGAAATGGGAGTAGGAGGAGGAAGAGGAGGAGGAGGAGGAGGAGAACAAAGATGATGAGACCCCTTAGAAGCTCCTTAGGGCACTCTTGGGGCCTTCTGGGAACTTCCTGGGGGGGCTCTTGAATGCTTCTTGGGGGCCTCCTTGGTCCTCTTGGGGGCCTTTGGGTGCCTGTTCGGGGTCTCTTTGGCCGTCTGCGTGCGTTCCTGGCCCGTCACACGCCGTCGGATGCCCTCTTGGGGGCCTCCCTGGGCCGTCCTGGGGCGCTTCAGAGCCATCTTGACGGTCATTTTGAGCACCTTGGAGGCCTCTTAGGCCGTCTTGGAGCCCTTTGGGGACCGTCTTGGGGGCCTCTTGGGCCGTCCTGGGGCCATCTCGGAGGCCTCTTGGGCGATCTTCGGCCGATATTGGGGGCCTCCTGGGCCGTCTTGGGCCGTCGGAAGGCCGTTCTGAAGCAAATGCGATGATCCTGCCAAACATATATTACATATATATATATATATATATATATATATATATGTATACATATACATACATATATATATATGTATATGTGTGTGTAAAATAGATATGTGTATGTATGTATGTATGTATGTATGTATGTATGTATGTATGTGTGCATGTATGTATGTATGTATGTATGTATGTATGTATGTGTATGTATGTGTATGTATGTGTATGTATGTGTATGTATGTGTATGTATGTGTATGTATGTGTATGTATGTGTATGTATGTGGATGTATGTATGTATGTATGCATGTATGTATGTATGTATGTATGTATGTATATGCATATGCATATGTATATGTATATGTATATGTATGTGTATATGTATATGTATATGTATATGTATATGTATATGTATATGTATATGTATATGTATATGTATATGTATATGTATATGTATATGTATATGTATATGTATATGTGTGTATGTATGTATGTATGTATGGATGCATGCATGTGTGTATATATGTGTGTGTGTGTGTGATGTTGGCCTTTTCGGGCCTTCCTGGAGGCCCTGGTGGACGTCTCTGAGGCAGTCTTGATCGCTTCTTGCGGCCTCTCGGGCCGTCTTTCGCCATCTTGGGGCAATCTTGGGCCGTCTTGGATGCATCTCGGGCCGTCTTGGAACATTTTTGGGCCATCATGGGTCCTCTCGGGGCCATCTTGGCCGGCATGAAGGCGTCTCAGAGGGATCGTGGATGCCATCTTGAGCCATCTGGGCCGTCTCGGAGGCGATTCGAACCCACGAGAGATGCATTTGCGGCGGCTTTCCAGGTGGCTCGCGGCATCGGCCGAAGCCTCAGGGAGGTGTAAGCAAAACAAAAACACAACAATTTGAAACTCGCCACGCGGAGCACCCCTGTGGCAAGACCACAGGGGGCGGCGGATCGAATGGCTTTCGGCACATCCAGCCACCGTACCAGGATTGTGGGTCCGAGGCCTCTTGGATGTTCGTTGGGATATCGTCGAGGCTTTTCGGGGGCCTCCTGGATGCATTTTTGAAGCCTTTGGGGGACGTTTTGGGGGCCTGTGGGGCCCTCTTTTGGGCTTCTCAGGGGCCTCTTGGGGCCTCCTGGGTGTCTTTTGGGGCGGAAGGCTCAACTTTTCGGTTTGCGTTCCCCCCTCTTGTAACCGTTTTGGGCGCTTCTTGGGCCGTCTCGGAGCCTTCTTGGGCAGTCTGTGGGCCCTCTTGGGGGCCTCTGAGGACGTCCTGGGGCAGTGTTAGGGGCCTCTTGGGACGTCTTGTACCGTCAGCAGCTCGAAAAGTGGATAACCCAAGAAACATTGAGAGACCTGCGGAACACTAAGGATTTTGGTATCTCGGGGCTCTCTTAGGAAGGCTCTTGGGACTCTCTTGGGGCGTCTCGATGGCTTCTCCGGCCATCTTGGGACAATCTTGGGCCTCTGGGGAAGCCTTGGGGCCGTCTCGGAGGCCTCTTGGACCCTCCAGGGACCTTCTCAGGACTGTCTTGGCCCGTTTTGAGGCCTCCCTGGGTGTGGGTAACGTCCCGGAGGCCTACGCGGAGCACCCTGAGAGCGCCCGGCCGCGCCCAAAGGGCATTAAAGACTTTACAAACTTGTCAGAATTGCATTACCTCTCAGACATGCACGGGCCCTGGAGCACTCCACTACGTGCTGAAGGCTCGGTGGCGGATCTAGGTATATATGTTAGCAGCTCGTTTCTAGCAGTATACGTTGTGCAATGTGTGCGTTGCGATCGACGTGGTGCAGTCTATATGGTGCAAATATGTTCTGTTCGCAGTGAGTTGTCAACTCCACTGCCCGCACAATCGCCCCACCCACCCACCCACGACTTGGTTTGCAAAACCCATGCGGCGGCGATTGCGAGGAGTGCTTGGTGCTGGCTGGTGCATCTCTGCGGCCGCGCTAGCCCGCGCATGCTCGCGCGCGCAGCGGCCAGCTTGTCTGGCGCGACCGACGTGGCCGCGGTGGCTCTGACCGCTGGGCACATCCCAGCTGGCACTGCACTGCGAGTCGGCGACTTGGGCGGGCGCGGTATCACGGCAACGTCGACAACGATAGACACGATGATGATAGTAGGGGTATTGGCGACGATGATGGCAGCGGCGACAGCACTGCCAGTGACGGCGTCGATGGTGATCACGTCGACAACAATGACGGCGTCCTCCCGTCGGTGATGAAGGTTTTGGAGGGAGTTCGACGCGCGCGCGCGGCCGACGCGCGCGAGTGGCCCGCATGGTTTTCTTTGACGTGGACCGTGCCCCCCCCCCCCCTGCACGCGCGCAAGTGCGCACGAACGATTTTGGTACGCGGCGCGAGCGGCCCGTCTGGCGGAGTTTACTGGACATGTTGAACAAGGTTTTTTTGTGGCTTCTGGCGATTTCGCAAAAGCGCCGGCGCACGTTTTTTGTTGACCATGGATGTTGCCAAACCGTACGTTTTGAATGTTTTCGGGACATCAGTTTTTGCTATCCTTGCCGCACCTAAAGTTGTTGAGTGATTTTGGCAGATGCGCGCGACGACGCGCGCGTGTGCATTTCGTCCCGTGGTTTTCTGTTGCAGCGGATTGTTGAACACGGGTGATTTTTGATGAACGAGTGTGCGCGCATACTACTGTTTGACAGGGATAAGGAAAAAGGGGTCGATACCGGGATCGCTTGGGATGGTGCGAATTCATATTCTGGAAAGGCGATGGGTCATAATCTTATGTAGATTGCAATGCAAAAAAGTGAGCCGTTCACCCTGGGGGGGGGAGTTCGATCCGAATTTTTTTTTAGCACGCGCAAGCTATGTTTTGCAACATATGTGGAGCATTGTATACAAATGCAACTTATAAGGTGCAACCGATGCTGTGCAATTTATGTGAAACAATGTATGCGGATGAATCTAAGCAGCGCAAAGCAACCAAACGCAAATACATGCGAAGCAACACAACGCAACGCACTGCACAACAATGCAAAGCAAAGCGACGCAAAGCAATGCAAATCAAGAAACAACAACGAAGTGCAATATCAGGCAACGCACAGCAAAGCAACGCACAGCAACGCAACGCAAGTCAGCGCAACGCCAAGCAGTCTACGCGGCGCAATCTCTCACACTGCAGCGCCAAGATCTGAGGGTGCATCTGTTCGCCGTCGGGAACCCAGGCCGCGCGGGCGCGGCTACGGGCACAACCGCCGCTCGCAGGGGGCGGGCGGCCGAGGCGGGGGCGCCGGCGCGCGCGCCCCCGCGAGGTCGAGGCAGTCGGTCGGCTCGGTGAAGTCGCGGGCGCTCTCCGCAGGAGGCCTGCCGCGGCCGGCGGGCCCGGCGGGGGGGGGGTAGGGGCCTTTGCACAGCTGCTGCCCGCCACGCCCACGGAGCTGCGCGCAGGGGCCGCCGGGAAGGAACCGGGTCCTGAGGGCACGGGGTCCTAAGGCTCTTGGCCGTCTTCGGGCTCCCCGGGGCCCTGTCAGGGCCCACAGGCTGTCAGAAAACAGGTCCCGATGAAGAACTCGCCCTCTCTGTCATGCTAAAGGGGGGCGGGGGGGAAGGGCTCAGGAGGGGGGGCGCATCGCCCCCCAATCGCCCACGGGTTGCCGGTGCAGCAGGCACACCAAATAAAAAGCTGGTTTGCCAACGGGTGCCCCGCGATACGTTCGCATCGCCCGATAAGGGCCTCGGAGCCATGGGGCACCTCGCGGAACGCAGAGTCGACGAGTGATGTCCCCGTACGCCTCTTATCTCAAAATCTCTTGCCGTATGAGCCTACCGTCTACTGCAGGGGCCTGAAAGCCCACCCCTTCAAGGAACGTGCGGTTTCGCTATCGGTGGCCTATCGCTGATCTATCGGCGCTCGATGCTTCCCCCCAGCCTGGTCTCCCCCTGATCGACCCTTCTCATGTCTTGCAGCTGCGGCTGGCCCCACGCAGGCGCTGCTTCTCGCCCGAGTGGGCTCTCGTGCGTGACTCTCGGTGGGTGCTAGGAGTCGGAGGAGGGGGAGGAGGAGGGGGAGGAGGAGGCGGAGGAGGAGGAGGAGGAGGAGGGGGGAGGAGGAGGAGGACAGTACATGGACATTATATTCGAACCCTGCGGCCCAAGATGCCCCCCAGACCCCCCGAAATTCATATTGATGGTGTGGCGACGGGCGGGGCGTGAGTGGACAGAAATATTCGAACCCCAAAGCACCGCCTTTACTGAGATCAACATTGATGTCGGGGGCGCGGGGGTGATTTAGAATCTCCCTCAAATGTGTAAGGGTTCGAATATATTGTCCATGTACGGGAGGGCTGGGTAGGGAGGGGGATTTCACGGGCTCCTGGGGCTTTTTCTGCCTCGGGCTGCGTTTCAGCAGGTCCGATTTCCGAGGGTGCGGGGATCATCCCCGTCGGCCGCCGGAGAGCCGATGTGTGGTGATCCGCAGGCCGCCTCTGCTGCGCGGGGTGGGGTCGGGTCGGATTGGGGGTGGGGGGGGGGGCTTAGTGGGCCCTGGAAACGACAGGGCCGTTTTTGTTACCGGTTCCGTTTTGCCGTTTTTTGGCCGGTTCCGACGCCGTTTTTGTTACCGGTTCCGTCGCCGTTGTTTGACCAGTTCCGGCTCCAGTTCCAATCCTGGAGCCGTTTTTTATTGCCGTTTCCTGTCGCCGTTTTTTTGCCGTTTCCATTTGTAAGGGACATTTTTTTGGAAACGGTGACAAAACGGCCCTGCCGTTTCCGGGGCTCGGGGGAGAGATGTCCGGTGGATGAGCGAACAGCACACGCCCACACACCCACAGGGGGCTCGGAGGGAGGCGGGGTGGCTTCACCCTTTCCGTCCTCCCCGGGGGGCGGGCGGACACCCAAAAGATAATCTGCCCTCGGCGCCTCCCTGCTTCCTGTTTCTTCGCCTGCTGACCTCCGACCCATGGGCAGCTCCGCCCGTCCCCCCTGTCCGGGTATGTGTGGGTGCTGCTCGCTCGTCCTCGGCATCGCTCGGACGTGTGCATTTTTCCTTCGGCGAGGACCATCGAGGAGCATCCTTGATCACTTGGCGAAAAAGCCAGGCACGAAACCGAAAACAGCCCACGGAATGGACGTCCGAGCGATGGCGAGCGTCGTGTTGCGGGGGCTGCCGGAGGGGGAGGAGGAGGAGGAGGAGGAGGAGGAGGAGGAGGAGGAGGAGGAGGAGGAGGAGAGGAGGAGGAGGAGGGGGAGGAGGAGGGGGAGGGGGAGGAGGAGGAGGAGGAGGAGGAGGAGGAGGAGGAGGAGGAGGAGGAGGAGGAGGACCAGGAGGAGGAGGAGGAGGAGGAGGAGGAGGAGGAGGGGAGGAGGAGGAGGAGAGGGAGGAGGAGGAGGAGGAGGAGGAGGAGGAGGAGGAGGAGGAGGAGGGGGCAGGGGGGGGCAGGGGGGGGGGGGGGGGGGGGCAGGCGCGCGGGCCCCCGGGGGGCCTCGCCGCCTCCCGCGAGTGGCCGACGCTGCCCAGTCCTCGGGGGGTGGGGGCTCCGGGTCTGGCTGCAGGGCGTCTGCGCGAGCGTCGTCTTGATTCGGGAGACTCTTCATGGGGGGGGATCCCATGGGGGGATAGGATCCCAGGGGGGGGATCCCATAGGATCCCCCCCCATGGAGAGTCTCCCGATTGATTGCCCTCTGGGCCACAGCGCGCGCCGTGCCCCCCGCCCCTCCCCCCCCCCCGCCCCTTCTCACGTCACGCTCCCCTCCATCCGTGCGTCCCCAGCGCTGCCGCAGTGCGTCGTGCCGTGCACCTTGGTCCTTGAAGTTTGGTGTGCAGTCGGAATAGCAGGAAGGTCAAGCCGACAAGTCAGCGATAACTCTTTGTTGCCTTTTCCAGCATCGCCGCTATACTAATGTTATTCGTTATCCTTCCTCCATGCTTCTTTTCTTCATTTTCGCCATACCCTGCGCATTCTCCCCATCCTCCGCAGCTCTTCTTTGCGGAGGTTCATCCTTGGAGAGCCTGTGGGGGCCTCACAGAAGTTGTTTCAGGCTTTCTTAAGGCCTTCTGGAGGCCTCCTGGGCGTATTCTGGGGGGCCTCTGGGGGCTTCCTCGGGCCACCCTGCCTCCAACCGCGGTCTCCCTGAACGACTGGGTCACGATTTGGAATGCTTCGGAGGGTGTCTCAGGGGCCATCTTGGGCCGCCATGGGGTTCTCTGAGGGCCATCTTGGACCCGTGTTGTGCCGTTTTGGGGCTCTCTTGGACTGCCCGGAAGCCCTTTCGGATGGTTGTGGGGCGATTCTGGAGCCTCCCAGGCGGCTTCGGACGCCCAGAAGACCGCCGTTTTGGAGCGTCGGGAAGCCGAAAAGAGGAGAACCCCCCAATTCACCAAAAAACAACAGAAAATCAATGATTGTTGCCTCTTGGGGCCTTCTTGGGAGTGCTCTTGTAAGCCTCTTTGGGACCGTCCTGGAGGCCTCTTGGGCCATCTGGAGGTCACGTCGGTCACTCTTGGATCGCTCTTATGCTGTCTTGGAGGTCTCTGGCTCCGATGACCCCCCTGATCGCCTTAGGTGTGCTGGGAAGGCTTGGCAAAACGCCCTGCGAGGCCCGGGGGGCCGCTTCGAGGCCCGTCCAGAGGGCCCCAAAGCCCCAGATCCCGGGAGTCCGGTTTTGGGGGGGGGGCCCCTTTCGCGTTCCGCCCGGATTGTAAAAATATCTAGAAAAGGGAATGCATGTATACATACACACGTTCACCCTCGGCTGAATTGTTCCTGGGCCTCAGAGGAGGGTGGCGGTGCATATGTCACCACTGGTAGCCAGCGACTTTATACACCGCCGCCCTCCCTTACGGGACATGCGAAGTTCGTCGGAGGGTGTCGCTTATGTATTTTCGCTGACGTATTGGTACGACTTCCTCCACGCTTTCAGCGCCTGCAGCCTTGGCTTCAGCCCCTGAGTGTGGTCGCGACGCCGCCCCGCGCCCACTGCCAGGTCGCCCGAGCACAGGCTGGCCGCTCTGGCCACTTCTGCGGAAGCTCTTTCCGCGGTGGATGCCCCGCTTCCCCCGTCTGCTTTTTCTGCGGCAGCCCTCTTCCTCCGTCCCTTCCGTGCTGCCTGTCGATTCGCACGCCACGTGCCCCGGGCTACTGGAGCGCGCGTGCGGATCGCCTCTGCCGCGCTGCGACGTAAGAAGTGTGTATGTTTGCGTGGCGTTTTTAGTTCGGTCGTGGACTTTTGGATAGCGTGCCGCTGCGCCGGTTCTTGCCCAACCGGTCTCGGCGCGAGAACTGATTCATTTCCCAGTCCCCAGGCTTCTGCGTCCCGAGCTGTCCCGAGCTTCCCACCCCGCGGAGCGGCGCGACACGCTATCCACTCGCAGGGGATAGCGTGTCGTCGGGGCCGCCGCCGCGACACGCTAAGCAAAAGTTCACGACCGTATGTTTCGGGGGCTCTTCCATTTCAGGTTCCGTTGTCTTGCCAGCCGTGTTCGTAGTTCCACCGCCCTGCATTACAGTGGGAACCCATGCCAAGGAACACCCTGCCCGCCTCCAGGGTGCCCTGGGTTGCTTGGCTTCCGATAGTTTGGCGACGGAAAGCGTGACGTGCCCACACCAAAAGTCAATGGACGTCCTGGGGTCTCAGGGTGGGGTTTCTTGGTGAAGGTTTCTTGTGGACTGGCCTCCACTGTATTGCAGTTGCTGCAGTGGTCGTGTTCTGCTGCCGTTTCCAATCCGCCCTGCGTGCAAGAGCATGTCGGGCTGGGCGGGGGGGACAAAGTGTGAATCCTCTTCCTGGATCGAGCTCTACTGGAAGGTTTCCTGTAGTCGAGCTCCTGCTGTCCTTGCCTGGACCTCGCTCCCCAACCAGCTCGCTCCAGGGCCATCCGCCGACTGGAGCGGGGGCGCGCTCCTCCTAACCCTCCTCCTCCTACTCTTCCTCTTCATCCTACTCCTCCTCTTCCTCCTCCTCATCTTCCTCCTCCTCATCCCCCTGCTCCTCCTCCTCCTCCTCCTCCTCCTCCTCCTCCTCTATCTCCCTCGTCCTCCTGGTCTTGTTCCTTCACCTTATGTTTCTCATCTTCTTTCTCCTCCTCCTCCTCTCTCTCTCTCTCCTCTTCCTCCTCCTCCTCCTCCTCCTCCTCCTCATCATCATCAGCATCATCATCATTATCATCTTCTTCGACCCTAACCTAACTCCAGGCCCCAGCCAGGACGGGCCGAGAATCATCGAGGGTAAAAGAAAAACCGTACCCAGATAACCTAGTGAGGACGTGGCCTCACTGAAGTCCCCGCTTTTGTATCCGGGATACTGAATCTGGGCGGTCTGGCGTGGCACACCTGCAGAAAAGATCCCCTATCCCCAATGAGTCTGGCCCTCCTCACTTCGGTCGCCTCTGAAAGGGTTTCGGGTTCTTTTATGCTTAATCATAGAATCGGAATGACTCCGTTCTGGAACGCTCTGAGGCGGCCGCGGTGCCCGAGACATTATTCAAGCCTGCCGATTTTCAGACACGCTCGAATCATATTCGGCGCCACCCCAACATACTAATACTGTGTGTGCGTCGCCCCCCTGGTCGTTGACTAAACAGCCCTGCCCTGTTCGATTCCTGCCCTGGGTGCGTTTACTGAACGGCTTCGCTTGTCGGGGTGCTTATTATGAGGGTTTGTTATTTCTGCAGTCCCTAGAGTCCACATGCGAGCTATTGGAGGCGCGTCTGCGGTGAAATGACCCAGAAAAGCACACGAACAGCAGCAAAGATGAAGAGGCGGGTCGAGGAGTAGGAGTTCGCCCATAAGGGACAAGCGTGAGACTACGGCCATGTGCACTCCAGCATGGCTTTTTACAAGTGATCATGGCCGTCTGGGCCAAACATGTAGAAGGCATGTGGGCGAGAGAACGATTCTGGAAGAACTTGCAACGAAGTCCCATGGGAAACGGGTTCCGGGCCAGGCGGTTTGGGACCCTTTCGCTTTTTTATTACAGAACCCCTGGACGTCTGTGCTGAAAATGTAGCCGGCATTGAGGCGAGAGCACCAGTCCTGAATACATGGTGAGCAAGTCCTGCGCCAAGCGGCTGCGTGGCCGGGCCGTCTCGGGTTTTCCGTCATTTCCCGTCCACCTTCGTGGGACTCTTCTGTTGGAGTCTCTTTGTCAGGGTCCGGCGACAACCTGGGATATCGGGCCCGCCCGCCCGCCGTTCCCTCCTCCTCACCAGATAAGCTGGTTGGACAGGTCCGAAGGGGGTACGCGGTACTGGCCCGCGCGTGCACACGTGGGCCTGCCGAGAGCGAAAAGGGCAGGTTGTCGGCCGGCACTTCCTACCCCTCCGCCACTGGAAAACATGGGCTATAGCCGACACATTAAGATTGAGTTTGGCTGTGGGCAAATGTTGTAACCCTCTACATAAACGCTATGAGGGGAGGAAGCCCCGCCCTTGCTGCTCTTTCGGGCATCCTCGCGTTGATCGCGCGCGCCGCAGAGAAGCAGATTCCCTGTGCCAGGACAGCGCTCGCAGCGCGGGGTGCCGTCGGGGGCCGCGGGCGAGAAGCTCTTCGTGGTCTCCCTCGAGACGCTCGTGATGAACTCGGAGGCTGGCGCGGCCGGCGGGGGTCGGCTATATTTTGCTATCCGACAGCGCCAGCGGTCGCCGGCGCGGGTGCCGATTCCGGCAGGGCGTGCCGGGCACGAGGCGCGGGTGCAGGCGGAAGGGAAGAGGGCGGCCGCGGAGGAGGAAGCGGGGGGGGGGCCCAGCCGCCGAGCGCCAGCGAGTGAGCGGTGCGCAGGAGGTCTGGCACATCAGAGATCCGTGGATCCGGCTCGTTCAGGAGGGGTATAAAAACACACAGACACAATTCATCGTCGACTCCCAGGAAAATATGGAAAAATATGGGAAGTGGGGGGGAAGACAGAAACCCAGAAGATACAGGAAAAGATAGGGGAATCCAGTTATTTGTGTGTATTTATTTGTGTGTCCCAGGGCCCCTTCAGTATCGGGGGAGATGGCCCCCCGAGGCACGAAGCCGGTGGCGCCGCCTGTGGCGACGGAGCGCGCCGCCTTGTCGCATGGGCACGGGGCCCTGCGCGGATCCGCGCGCCCTGGATCCGTGTCTGCGCTTCCTCGAGGGGGGCCTGGCACACCATCGGCACGTGACCGCGAGAAGTCTTTAGAACTAAGAACCCTCTCCCGGTAGGGGATTTGTTCGGCGGCCTTCTTGAAGGACTGGGGTCCCACCGAAAAGGGAGTAACTAATTATTTGTTTCCGCGGCGACCGCCGCGCAACAAGGAGGAGGAGGAGGAGGAGGAGGAGGAGGAGGAGGAGGAGGAGGAGGAGTGTTTAGGACGAGTGTTTAGGAGGAGTGTTTAGGAGGAGTGTTTAGGAGGAGGAGGAGGAGGAGGAGGAGGAGGAGGAGTAGGAGGGGAGGAGGAGGAGGAGGGGGAGGAGGAGGAGGAGGGGGAGAAGGGGGGAGGAGGAGGAGGAAGAGGTTTCAAAACCAGTCCTATTCACCACCGCCGAGTGACAAGGGGAGGGCGGATCAAAACTAAAATTTGCTTGACGTTTGGAGAGAAGGGGTGCTGGCTGTTGGGAAAGTGGTTGGGATCACCCTGTCCGGGCTGCAGATTTAAACCTGGTGCTGCTGCTGCCTAATGCCGCCGACCTGTTGGAAGCTGTCATGCCGTCTGGGAGCGGTCTGCAAAGATAACATGGATGAGTTCAGTGTGCGTATTTGATGCCAACGTCTCGGGCAAGACGAGAGGGGGAGATAGGGGCGTTACGAAACTTGCTGAATGCAGCTGGTTTCGGCCCCGCCGCCGGGCCCCATTACTCGATGCATGTGCTCTTCCCAGCGTCAGGAGGCGCCAGGAAGGCCAGCTGCGTGAACCTTTGCTGTCCTACGCGTTCGTTCCCTCCAAACGTCGATGTCGTGGCAGAGGTGGACACATCGTAAGATGTCTTGGCGCCCAAGTGGTGCAAGCATGTGTCCCTTAAATTGGAGGGGAAGGGGCCCTGGAGCGTCTTCGTCGGCTGCAGGGTTCGCATCCTTTGGCCCCAGGACGGTCAGAAGACGGCTCGGGATGAGAAACTGATCCTAGGGAAAGCCCCAGAGTCCAGAACACATTTCCGCCATGATCCTCTTCCCTCATGCCAGCGCCACCGCCAAGATCGGGGTTCACCTCCTCGGATGAGGACGGCTATCAGACGCACCGCGTTCCAGCCCCCTGCCTACCCTCAGAAAGGAGAACAACAATCGGAGGATGAGGGTGGAGAGAGACTGAAGGAGGTGGACCTGTGTAAATGCTCGACTCCTGCCTCATTGGAGATGGACCGGCCGAAGATGTCGGCCCGATCCGATCCGGCGCCGCTGTTCCGATAGGCTCCGATGCGGTGTTGGTGTCCACTTTGGCGCGGCCGATGAGAATCGATTCCGACTCCGTGTCGAGGCGGCCCGATTCGGTGCACATTCCGATCCGAGTTGGTGTCTTGGTTCGATTCGGGGTTATTTTGCTCTCTCGGGTCGGGCCAGAGGGGATGGGTGGGTGGCACGCGGGAATGAAACACTTGCTGCATGCAGCTGTCGTCGGCCCCCCCGCCGTGCGCTCTCCTCGATGCATAGTCGCCCCTTGGCGCTGCGGGTCGCCGAGAAAGAGCCAGCTGCATGCAGCTGGTTCGCTGGCACCCACTCTGCTGTCCCCCCTGTCCGTCCGCCCCGACTCTGACCCTCGGGTTGTGGAAGGCGGTCAATGGAGAGGAGGCGTGTTGCCTGATACATTCCAGATCCCTGACACATGCTTCAAACATGTCTCTAAAGTGTGGGAACATGGTTTGAACATCTTTCGAACATGTCTTACAAACATGTAGAAGGCATCCGACAGACATTTTTTATTCAGCGATAGAACGGTTAGAGTGTCCAGTGTCACGGCATCTGCAGCCCTGCGACCGAGGAGTTGTGGGAGAACGGGATCCCGGGGTCTTCCATATTTTGGAAACCGGCCCACCTGGGCCTCTCACCAGGGCCGCGGAGGCCATCTGAGGCTGGAGCCTTGGTAACGACTCCGGCGCGGGGTGTCGGGCCAAATTCTTTTTTCGGGAGCCCAATCCCTTCCATGTCAAGCTTCCGTGTTCCAGTCTTCCCTGGCGAGCGAGCACAAGTTCTAAGTCGTATACCGATGTGTAGTCAGCCCTGCAATTTGCCGCAGCGCGCAGCCGAGGCGGCGCGACCCGAAGCGCGCGCATGTTGTTCTGTTCTCGCCCCCTCTCTCTCTCTCTCGCTCTTGGGGGGGCCGTCGGCGCGATACCCTTCTCCTCTTCGCGGAGGAGGGGGAAGTATGAATGGTGAGAGGGAGGGGCATCGGGAGAGGGATGACAGCAGGAGGAGGAGGATGGGAAAGAGGATTAAGGTCAGGAGGAGGCGCTGGAGTAGCGAGGAAGAAGGAGGCAGGGAAGAGTATGGGTAGGAGGGCAGACATAGAGAAGTTGCCGTCGTCATCGTCGTCATTTTCATCATCCTTCGTTGCCCCCGGCCCCTCCTTCTTTTTCTTTATGATCTTCCTGACCATAGAGGCCAGAAGGAGGCGGATGAGGACGATGCTGTGGAGGAGGATTGGTGGGGAAGACGGGAAGGATGAGGAGGAGGAGCATAAGGAGTAGGGTGGGAGATTGGAGAGGCCTCATCTTGTCTCGTTGATGCAAGGCGAGGTCACTGGCTGGCAGCAGGCAGTGATGAAAACAGGATCTGTCGCTTCAGAGCATTCCGGAACGCTTCCAGATTCCGCAGCGCTCTGAGAAAGCCGCCAGATCTCAGAGATCCCCGTTTTATCCGGATCTGACTTTGTCCCGACCCTTGTCGTTCCTTTCAAAGCAGCGGGTGGCACGGCTCGGGCAGGCCACGGCCCGCTACGGCCTGGCCCGTGTCCCACCGCTGTTGTTTTCACCGTAAGTATGTTATTCAGGAGGGAAAGAAACACACAAACACAATTAATCGTCGATCCCCTAGAAAATATGCGGAAATATGGGAAGTGGGGGAGAAGACAAAAAACCAGAAAACATGAGAACATATGGGGCATATTTTTATTTGTGTGTATTGATTTGTGTGTCCTGGGGCCCCTTTGGTTATGTGGCAGCGGCGGGGGCCAGGGCCGACTCCTGCGTGGGGGCGCAGGTCGAGATGGCAGCCCAGCCCCGCTGTCTTCGGGATGCTGCGGTCGGCAGTCTGGGGGCAGAGGGCGTCGCTCTCGGCCCGGTCCAGGCCTCCAGCGGTGCCAGGGAGCGCAGACGCGTTCCCGGCTTCCGCCCCCCCGAACGCCGCCAACGCATGTGATATTCGGGCTGCCCTGACTCCGGATCCGTCCTACTTTGTGTTTTCTCCCAACTTAAACTTGCGTCGGACATCCACCTATAGGAGGCCGAAAAAGTAGGGCGGAAATTGCTGCACCCAACATAGAATAGGGCGGAAATCCACAGAAACAGCAACAGAAAAGTAGGGCGGAAATTGGCATCAGCGGGGCTTGAAAAGTAAGGCGGAAATTCCAAGCCCCACTTACGAATTTCCCCAAAGTAGGGCGGATCCGGAGTCAGGGTGGGCGAAAGGGGGGGATTGGGAAAGGGGGGGTTACGAACTCTGCTGCATGCAGCTGGTGTCGGCCTCACCGAGGGGCCCATTCCTCGATACATGGCCGCCTCCGGCGCCGGGAGGCGCCGGGAAAATCAGCTACGCGAGCTGATTCTCAAACCCCCCCTTTGCTATCCCCCCCTTTCGCCCGACCCGAGATATGGAGCAGGTCCTCGGCGTCATCCTCTCCGAGCCGATCGATCAGAACGAGTTGCCCCGCATTCCCGCTTCGGGCTCCAACGCACAGTAGCATGCCGAGTAGCGCGACCACAGGGGGAGCCAGAACGTTTCATGTCGCGAAGGGACTGGGCATGTAGGATGGTGTTGAACTGTCCAGGGTGGCCCCTCATGCAGCAGCGCCCTGGGCGATGATGAACTAATTGTGTTTCGGGCCTGCTCGGGAGCGTCGTCGTCATTGAGATTCACTGAACATGCCCTGCCAAATCGGGCTCATCTCTATGAGCTACGTGTTTAATCGATCTCCCGTGTTATTTTTCGCAACCTGCACCCTACGTCAACGCATGTCAACACACCTTGCGCCTTGCCATCCTCCCTCCTCCTGCCTCATTCTTCTCTCTCCTCCTCCTACTCATCCTCCCAAGGATGACCAGGTCCTAGCCTCACGCCGTGCGGACAAAGAGCGGCCCGCCAGTGGGGCAGCTTCAATCTTGTCGACCCGACCTCGGACCAGCAGATGCGCGTGTCGATGGTGAAAGGCTCCGTTCTCGCGCCCGCTTCGCGACCGTTCTTTAGTATCTTTGGTTCACTTCTCCGTCTGCCCTGATCCGCGATTTGGAAACATGTGGCAGAAGCCAGAGTAGTGGGGCCGACCAGCTTGACACAGTCCCAGGGTGCGTGTCTGTGGTGGGGTTCCGCGATGCGGATTGTAGTGAATTCTCATTTTCAAAGAATGGTTGTTGTTGATCACCTCCCTTTGGTGCCCATTGTTTTTCAGTTGAAGTGCTCCTCCCAGGGCTCGCACCCTATGCTTTATCATGGAAAATCTTGAGCTCAGACCGCGATGTTGGCCCTGGAACTACACACCAACAACGGCTCCCTTCTGATCTTCCCTCAATTTATTTGAATCGCGCTCTCGTCCGGGACGTCTTCACAATTTATGCAGGAAACGCCCTCTCGCGTGGGACTTCCTCCCAATTTACATTGAAACGCCGCTCCCTCAACGCTCAGGAGTCATGGTCTCGCTCTGGACTTCCTCACGACGATCTACTTGGGAATCGCACTGTTGCGAGAGACTTCTTCACGATTCATTCAGGACTGTCGCTTCAGCGACCCGCTCGCTCGACCCAGCCGTCTGGGCCCGCCCGCCCGACCTGCCCGTTGAGGTCCGCCCGCCCAACCATCCGCGGGCGGAAGCCCAATCTACTTCCAGCGCCTTCCTATTTCGTGTTTCTATCTACTTCCGACCGACGGGTGGGGTGGGGGGATAGGCATGGCCGGGGGATGCATCGACCCCCATTCGCCCATTGAGCGCCGACAGGTGTCTGATAACCCCACAAGGGGTCGGGCATCGACCCCCAATCAAAAGTTCCCGACCGTAGGAGGGGGATACGCTCACGGGGGCGGTGGCATGTACTCCGAGTCTGCCATTCATCCCCGATTGGAGCTTCCAGGAGCGGATGTTTTCGCTATCGGGGGCCCATCGCCGATCAATCGGCGATGTATCGCCGATTCCAAGTCGATGTTTCTCCCCTTGTGCAAGTCACCATCCCTATCGTGCCCCCTCATGCCAGAGGTGTTCATGGCACGTGAACTGTTGCACACCCAGGGCTTCCAGATCTTGGACGTGAGCCCCACAGACGATACGAACCAGGGCATGTTCTGCATCACCCTTTTCATGGGTACGAATGCACATCCAAGCCGGACTTGTTCCCCACCGGACAGGGTGGGGTCGTTAGATGTTGAGAACAGACCTCCCAGCCATTCCCATCCTGCATACCGCGGCCGCCAGACCCCAAGTTGTCCCGAGTGTCCCGGTTATCCCGCCTCGCGCCCTCGACCCCAAGTTGTCCCGAGTGTCCCCGTTATCCCGCCTCGCGCCCTCGACAAACACGACAGAACGCACCTTGCATACCGCGGCCGCCAGACCCCAAGTTGTCCCGAGAGTTCCGGTTATCCCGCCTCGCGCCCTCGACTAACACGGCAGAACGCACCCTGCATACCGAGGCCGCCAGACCCCAAGTTGTCCCGAGAGTTCCCGTTATCCCGCCTCGCGCCCTCGACTATCACGACAGAACACACCCTGCATACCACGGCCGCCAGACCCCAAGTTGTCCCGAGAGTCTCGGTTATCCTTCCTCGCGCCCTCGACAAACACGACAGAACGCAATATGGCACAACAGAACATGACAGAACAGAGCAAGAGCATGACAGAGCATGGCAGATCATAACATATCGATAGCATGACAAAACAGAGGACACCAGCATATCACAGAACATACCAGAGCAGAGCATGACATAACAGAAAGCGACAGAACACAACACACTACAACACGACCGAGCATAACATAAGACGGACGCATTGACATAACATATCATGTCATGACACAGAGTCACCGAACATATCATAAGACGACACCGCAGCATAGCGGCGAACTTGCCAGAATACTACATGCCACACCATAATATAACATATCATGACGCGAGGTTGCCATAACATCACAGAACATAGCAATATCATGACAAACAAGAGTATGCTATAACCTCACAAAACACAACATATCAGAGCATGCTAGAACGCATGAGACATATCACAACATAACAGCATAATCGAGGAATACATGAGACACCTTGGCAGGACATCCCAAATCATTGCACGTCATCGCAGATCAGATCATAACACGACATTATAGCATATCGGCACACACTAGCATAGCATATCATACTATATTGTACTGTGCCGAGCCGTCCACAAACACAGCATCACATAACACACCAGAGCATAGCATGACATAACAGAAGACGACACAACACAACACAACATACTATAACGAATCATAACACAATACATCATGGCATGACACATCATATTATGTCACAGCATCACATGAAATACCATAACACGGCACCAGGGTATTGCGAAACACATTAGCAGAGCAGACCATCAGATAATGTTTTGAGCCGAGCCGTCAACAGCATCACGGAACAGATCATACTATAAAATGATACGTCAGCATACCATGCAATACCATAGTGCCGCAACGCAGATCATACCATAGTATCTCCAACAATATGGTGACATATATGAGCATAGCACAGCGTATTTACCAGAAGAGAAACATATAGGTGAAGAGGGGCATCACAACAGACGACGCATCTAACGTCACAGGCGTCACGACGTCACGCTAGCCCGTTGACAACAGAAGAGGATATAATAGAGCAGAACATGAAATATCGTTACTACATGGAACACGATTGAACCGCTTTCGAATACAGACACGGCAGTAGTGCAGTGGAGGAGAGGAGTACCACGGCAGAGCAGGACATTGCAAACCATGCTACCATACCATATCATACTTTACTATAGTGAGCCGAGCCGGCAACACCATAACGGAGCATATCATATTACAGCAGAAGTTGGGATACCATGTCATGTTCCTACATGGTGCCAGAGGGCATAGTATAACATAACGTACCACATCAAATTGAGGCAGAAGCGTGCATGACAGAGAAAATTCTTCGAATGAGGTAACGGAAGGGCAGAGGGATATCGTAACATGATACACCATACGTGCATTTTGGTCAGCGTCGCCAGAGGGATCAAGAGTCACATTAACGAGCGATGCGACGATGTCTCTGGCGTGACAGGCGTCACGACGTCACGCCGGCCCGTCGATATCAGAACATCAGAGAACCAGCGTCACATTCTATGTCTGGGCAGGATCCTACCACACACACACACTATAGCCCAACATCACGTATACAGTAGCCACAATTCGATGGTGTCGCACAGGCGTCACGACGTCACGCCGGCCCGTCGAGAACATACATAGACATAATAGAGCATAACCTGTTGGAGAGTTACTCCATGGAGTGCTGTCCAACTCTTTTGAATACAGCAACGCCGGGCACTGCTTACATCCTTCCAGTAGGCGCGCGCACCGTTGGGGAAGGTTTCGGTGGGGATCGCTCGAAACCAAATGATTGATGTTGTTTTGTCCACGCGTCCGTCTGGGGTGCAAGGCTATAGACAGACAGGCAAACATGCCATGGCAGATAGACAGGCAGACAGGCAAGCATGCAAGGCTACAGACAGACAAACATGTCCCTGGCCCAATACGCACCACACCTCTTGAGCAAAACGAAGGCGGGGAGTTGTCGCACTTTGTCGGTCTGGAGGGCCCTCGCGAGGCTCCGGGGCCCACGCTCTCACAGCTCCCGTGCTGCAAGGGGCCAGTGGAGGGTGTCCAATCTTGCCTCCGCGGGTTGCGCTGCCGTGGAACAGACAGTATTCCCTTCTGGAGTTCTCTGCAATTCGCAAGGCGCCTGTCGGTGCGTCAACGACGCGAGCGCCCAACACGAAAGGTGTCTGCTCTCGCCTGCCCCATCGTTTCTTAGTCTCCTGGGCATGATTATTCTCGGTGTGGCACGATGCTCTATGTGTATATTCTCCCCCCCTGTCTGCAGAGGCCCTAACGACACGCGTTGCCTCCGCGTCTTCAAGAGCCAGAGCGTGCAGGAGCCCAGCATAGAGCTGCGCCCGACGCAGATGGGAGGACTTTCAGCGCGCGCACGCTGCCGATGGGGCGGGAAGGCCTCCTCCCTCCGCCTCCTCCACCTCCTCCTCCTCCTCCTCCTCCTCCTCCTCCTCCTCCTCCCTCTGCCTCCTCCACCTCCTCGATCCTAACTCCAGGCCCCAGGCCGTTCCCCAGGTCTATTATCCTTCAGCTCGGCACCGGCCAACAAGCCCCGCAGTGGTGCTGATGTGGCTGCCCTTGCAGTGCCCAGCCACTGGGGACGACCACCCCCGACAGGAAGAGAGACGCTTTGGAGTCCTCCGGCTCCGCCTCCTCCTCCTCCTCCTCCTCCTCCTCCTCTTCCCTCCTCCTCCTCCTCCTCCTCCTCCTCCTCCTCCTCCTCCTCCTCCTCCTCCTCCTCCTCCTCCTCCTCCTCCTCCTCCTCCTCCTCCCCCTCCCCCTCCCCTCCCCCCCTCCCTCCCTCCCTCCCTCCTCTCTGTCCATCCCCCGTCCGAGCGCAGAGGATCGCCGGGCGACCCCGCCGACGGGAACCTGGAGATCTGCGGGCCCGGCGGCGAGATCCTGGGCTCCCTGAACTTGCAGGCGCCCCTCCGCACGTGTGCAGAGCGCCGCGCGCCGCCCCCCCTGCGCCGCAGCTGCGGGGCGCTGGCCGCGGGGGCCCTGGCGGGCGTCTCCGGGCAGCCTCCTGCAGGAGAGGAAAAAAACACACAGGCACAATTGATCCTCGGTTCCCCAGGAAAGATGGGAAAATACGGGAAGTGGGGGGGAGGACAGAAGCCCCAAAAATGGGGGAACATATGGGGGATATGTTTAATCCCCATATCCTAAGATGGGGTTCTTGTTATTATTTGGACGCCTCCTACTCCTTCTTCTTCTCCCTCCTCCTCTTTTCTCCTCCCCTCCTGTCGGACTTACTCATACTCACACTTGCTCACACTCAGACTTACTCATACACAGACTTACTCATACTCATATTTACTCATACTCAGACCTACTCATACTCAGACTTACTCATACTCAGACATATTCATACACAGACTTACTCATGCACAGACTTACTCATACCCAGACGTACTCATACACAGACTTACTCATACCCAGACTTACTCATACACAGTATTACTCATACTCAGACTTACTCATACCCAGACGTACACATACACAGACTTTCTCATACACAGACCTACTCATACCCAGACTTACTCATACACAGACTTACTCATACACAGACTTACTCATACTCAGGCATACTCATACTCAGACCTACTCATACTCAGACTTACTCAACACACATCAGATTTGGAGGATGTCTCAAGCGGGGCGCTGGTTTCAGCACCCCTAAGGGGAGCCGCCAGGGGTGTTTGCACGGGCTCGTTCGCGGCCATTTTGTGGGGATGTCTCAGGCGGTTTGCTTGTTTCTGGGCTCAACATCCTTCGCTTGGAGAGCAGATTGTGAGGATGTCTCAGGCGGGGCGCTGGTTTCAGCACCCCTAAGGTGAGCCGCCAGGGGTGGTTGCACGGGCTCGTTCGCGGCCATTTTGTGGGGATGTCTCAGGCGGTTTGCTTGTTTCTGGGCCCAACATCCTTCGCTTGGAGAGCAGATTGTGAGGATGTCTCAGGCGGGGCGCTGGTTTCAGCACCCCTAAGGGGAGCCGCCAGGGGTGGTTGCACGGGCTCGTTCGCGGCCATTTTGTGGGGATGTCTCAGGCGGTTTGCTTGTTTCTGGGCTCAACATCCTTCGCTTGGAGAGCAGATTGTGAGGATGTCTCAGGCGGGGCGCTGGTTTCAGCACCCCTAAGGGGAGCCGCCAGGGGTGTTTGCACGGGCTCGTTCGCGGCCATTTTGTGGGGATGTCTCAGGCGGTTTGCTTGTTTCTGGGCCCAACATCCTTCGCTTGGAGAGCAGATTGTGAGGATGTCTCAGGCGGGGCGCTGGTTTCAGCACCCCTAAGGGGAGCCGCCAGGGGTGGTTGCACGGGCTCGTTCGCGGCCATTTTGTGGGGATGTCTCAGGCGGTTTGCTTGTTTCTGGGCCCAACATCCTTCGCTTGGAGAGCAGATTGTGAGGATGTCTCAGGCGGGGCGCTGGTTTCAGCACCCCTAAGGGGAGCCGCCAGGGGTGGTTGCACGGGCTCGTTCGCGGCCATTTTGTGGGGATGTCTCAGGCGGTTTGCTTGTTTCTGGGCTCAACATCCTTCGCTTGGAGAGCAGATTGTGAGGATGTCTCAGGCGGGGCGCTGGTTTCAGCACCCCTAAGGGGAGCCGCCAGGGGTGGTTGCACGGGCTCGTTCGCGGCCATTTTGTGGGGATGTCTCAGGCGGTTTGCTTGTTTCTGGGCTCAACATCCTTCGCTTGGAGAGCAGATTGTGAGGATGTCTCAGGCGGGGCGCTGGTTTCAGCACCCCTAAGGGGAGCCGCCAGGGGTGGTTGCACGGGCACGTTCGCGGCCATATTGTGGGGATGTCTCAGGCGGTTCGCTTGTTTCTGGGCTCAACAGGGAGGGAAATGACAGGAACGAGGATGAGGAGGAGGAACAGGAGGAGGAGGAGGAGGAGGAGGCGGGGGATCGTGAGGAAGGCATGGGGGTGCGGAGGGGGAGGGGGAGCAGGAGGATGAGGAGGAGGAGCAGGAGCAGGAGAAGGGAGGGGGCGGAGGAACAGGAGGAGGAGGAGGAGGAGGAGGAGGAGGAGGAGGGCGTTTTGCTCGAAGGTCCTTGACGCGAGCAGAACGTTTGTTCCGAAGTCCAGGACATATATATATATATACACATACATATATGTATATATATATATGTGTATATATATGTATATATTCATAGGGGGTGACTGCGAGGGGGGGGGGCGGTGGTTGTGTGCGGGGATCGTTGGAAATGCTCACCGTGGCACTATCCCCCAACATGACATGCACTTATGGCCTTGTGTGGCTAAACGCTCGTCTTACACATCCCACTGCCAACTATCCTACAACATATGCACATGTGGGAAGCTCCAACGCTACCACGGGCTGAAAAAAAGGGGAAGGCCTGGCAGCTGAGGAGGGGGGATGAAGAGGAAGAGGCTCGCATTCAACCATACTCGAAGCTCACTCTGACTCATACGCAATCACTCGCATTAGGGGTCACTCGTCTTCGTCGGCCCTGTCGCCCACGTGGACGCGCTATTGTAGTCGACCGCTCATGAACAGACGCTCGCCACGGCATGACATAAGACATGATATGCACATATGGGGAGCTCCACGCAGTGAGTAATTCGTGTGTATGTATTTGTGTGTCCTGGGGCCCCTGCACTCCTGCAGCGCCGCCAGCAAAATTCGAGCCCTGCCCTCACCGATCAACGGTGCAGGCAGCTTGATGAGAGGCGGGGGCAAGTGAATGGCGTACCAAGTAATCGAGTCGCTGTGCGCTGATGCTCCTGTGGGCCGACAGGTTGAACCCTCAAGGTAGGGCTCGGAATTCGTCGAACACGTAGCGAAATCCGAAACCCACCCCCGCATCCCATCGATTCAGGAGAATCGATGGTTGGTGGGGGCAGGGTTCGGATGACGCCTCCTACAGTATCCCATCTGCTCCACTCGGCGGTGCGCCGAGGGGGGAATCGGGGGCAACGTGAGGGAGGGATGGGTTCAGGGAGGGGTACATCGACCCCCCATCGCCGCCCAGTCGTCGCCGAGCCCATCGCCGATCCATCCGCGATGCATCGCCGATTCCAGGGCGACGTTCCCCCCCTGAGCCAGTCCCCCCCCGAACGGTCGCCCTCAGGATGTGTGTTGAGTCGGGCCTGTCCCTCTACAGTGGGGAATATTCAAAATAGTCAAAACATAACCTGGGGACCATTGTTTGACTATTTGGGGGCATTTTTCAGGGTATGTTTTAAGTCTGTTGTATGTTTCGTCCAAAATCCCCCTGTATTGGGGACAGGCCCGACCTAAAGGATGTGAGAGGTGGCAAGCCTTCTCAAAAGGCGGCAGGGCTTATCCGAAGCCTCCGGCCTTGTGTGAGGAACCTTCCGCGGCTTCGGAGGAGGCTTTTGGGCGCCTCTTCGGGAGGCCTCTGGCCCTCTGGCCCTCCTGGAGAAGGCCCGCCCCCTCCCCCTCCTCCTCCTCCGCCTCCTCCTCCTCCTCCTGCTGCTGCTGCTCCTCCTCCGTTTCCTTCCTCCTTCTCCCTCCTTCTCCCTCCTTCTCCCTCCTCCCTTTCCCTTTCTCCCTCCTCCTCCTCCTCCTCCTCCTCCTCCTCCTCCTCCTCCTCGTTCTCGCGTGCCCGCCGCACATACACAGCATCTGACAGCCAAGTAGTGTCGAGCGCATCCATCGGTGTGCTCCCGAAATCAGCTGATCAATCGGCGAGCACCCGTGGCGGACCTCCCCGCTACACACATACATATATATGTATAATAGAGAGGAAATTGTAATACATATAATAGAGCGCATATATGTGTATATACGTATGTATGATATACATATGTAGAGAGAGTGTAGTGCAATACGTATGTATATACATTTATCACTCGTATCACTAGAATCAGTAGTAGTACGAATGTTATTATATGAGTATGAATCATAATATAGTCTTACTAGTATTCGTATTGTTGTAAGTCGCATTCCTTTCATTGTTCAAGTTTTCTGTTATAGTTGTGAGTCTGCTTAGTATTAGCATCCTTATGCTTAAAGTTGTCATTAGTGTTTGAAGTATGATTGTGATTCGCATCACTATTTTTTAAAGTTGTCACTACTGAGTTTGAGTGTTCCCAATGTCCCACGAAGCAAAAAAACAAACAGCACGACTGGCGCCTGCCACTGTTCGCGATCTCGGAGCCCCGGGGAGCGCCCTCTGGGCCGCAGGACTGGCCAGAAACGGCCCCGCGACGAAGAGCGACTTCCGGGAACGGGCTCGCGCGCTTCGGAGGAGGAGGAGGAGGCGGAGGAGGAGGAGGAGGAGGAGGAGGAGAGGAGGGAGGAGGAGGAGGAGGAGGAGAAGGGACGAACAACAAAAAAACACGACGGCGGCGTGAGAACACACCTGCGCGACGGTGGCCCGCCTCTGCGCGCGCGCGCCCGACGGCTTGTTGTGCGCTGCGCCGGCCGCCCCCTCCCTGGACCGTGTCTTTGTTATACCCTCTGGGGCATCGCGCGCGTGATGTCGGAAGCTGCAGCATGTACAGTCGGGGCGCTGAAGCAGGAACCCTTCTCGTTGGGGAGGGGCTCCGTGTTCCTTCATTGTTTCACAGTTTGCCCTAGGTTTTCTCCACACTTTCGATGGGACATCGAAGTTTAACTTATGGATAAAAAGGGGCCTCGTTCCTTATTTTGGGTTCCTTGGGTCAACGCCCCGATTGTACATCACCAGCGACGGGCTGGTTTCAATCCCGGGAGTTTTTGATGGTCGGGGGCGACGTCGGGGCGGTGTTGTGTATACTGTTTCCCTGCTGTCCCGGGGGAACAACACCAGGATCCCGTATATACACGAGGATCCGTTTTCTTGTGCGAGTTTCAGTGCAGGGCCGGAACAAGCGTCGGTGTATAGAGGTCGGTTCCCTATCATGCCCCCTCCCCTCCCCCCAACCCTCCCCCACCCCCAGAACGCAACGCT